TTTGAACAAAAACGGTTCGGCAATGATGCTTGTATCCTGACGTAGTGCGCAAAACCAAAGACGCCAAATTCCGCAAAAGTGTGATTGAGGAATCCGTGTTGGAGTAGTCTCACGATCACGTGAACTATGGTAAAAGAAGGAACTAATCATTCACATCTTGTCAAAGATGAGTAGGAAGCACAATATAAAAGCCTGCGAATCATGGTGTATCACAAGTTAGAAAAAATGAATTTCAATATTGTGATTTTCCTGCTGATCAACTACTATGTCAGCGGCATCGTCGGTAAGCAACTTAGTTTCTGCTCAATATCTTTCCGATCATCAGCTGAAAATTGTGAAGTGGTTACTGCTACTGCTGAAGCAAAGAGCTTCGTTATAAAGAACAATATCACTGGCTGTCAGTACCGTGTCACATCGGATTCTAGCAAACCGTTGAAAGTATTTGTCAACGTAAGTCAACAAAAATGCATTGGAATGCACTTCGTTCATTCAAACATGGGAGATTGCTCATTTCACTGATGACGCATTCCATCATTTTCAGGCGACAAGTGGAACCGACTGTGTGAAGGTGACAAGTGGAGATAAATCAGAAATGCTCTGCTCAACAGGTGCAATGACTGAATTCAAATCCAGCTCGTCGATTGATGTGAGTGCGGATTCAGTCACGACCACCACTACAACACCCCCGACGACGGTGACAACCACACCTACGACAGCTCCGCCTCTACCAAACCCAGGTGAAATGGGTGAGAAAAAAGACAAGGAGGGGACAAAATCCGGGACAGCAGGAGGACCATCAAAGGAAGAATCTCAGAGAGGTGGCGAAAGAGAAGAGGAAACGGATGAAGGAAAAGCTGAATCAGAAGACCTGCAGAGTCAAGCTGGTCCTGCTGCTGTTAAGCAGTTAATTAGGCAAACCAGAGACACTTCAAGAAACGCTGGATCCAACGAAGTAACTGTCTACTACATGCTGGGTGAGTGTTGAACAGCAACCAGTAATTCATTTAAACCAATGTCGTATAAAGCATTGTTTGACAGATCATAATGTTGAGTCTATTATTCAATGAATCTCCCGCACTGTAACCTCTTCCAGACAAAGTTTCAAAGTCAAAACCTTCGTGGTTTCTGATGTTGGGACTGTTCGCATATCTTGTCAACGGCGGTGTATGGTGGGTTGCAAATACCAATAAATCTTTAGTTTATTTGCCTGTGTTATGTTGTGTGAAATCAAATTTACGTTTTTCATGCGATTCAATGCGATTTATTGACGGAATCTCATTTCGACATTTGCTTTTCAGAGTCAGAGAAGAAACGCACGGCACACACATAACTGGGACAATGTTAAAAAGATGTGTGATGTTAATAAACCAATAAATGTAATACTCACACTATCTCTATATTTGTTGTGCGTCATCAGCCCACACGAGCAATAGCACTGAAAAGTTCACTAGTCCAGGTTTTCATACGCTTCTTACCTTACCGACAAAACCTGTGTAATCAAATCCCCGACGTATGGAGATGAGACCCATGGAGGAAGTGATCCGACGATTACTACGTCCGAAATTAACCATGTGCAGAACGAACCATCACAGTGAATGTAAACTTTGGAATATAGGTATGTAATAGGAAACAATGAAAACGTATCGGTAATACTAACGCATTTTATGAGATTGCGTTCCACAGACGCGTTCGTGGCTTCCTTTAGGCATCTATTAGTGAGCACAAAGCTGTGAGCTCCTCTATGCATAATGAGAGAAGAAATCATTTTGTTTTCGGAGTCGGAAAAGAAGCAGATTAAAAAAAGGTTTTCGACTATTGAAACACCAAGATTCAATCACGTTCCGAATCGGGAACGGATTGATGAAACCCTCAGGATCAAAGGGACATTTATTTACACATTATCTAATAGAGGCATAATTTGTCCCGCTGAGGATCAGGACATCATATCGACATTATCCCCTTCGGCAATTTAATAGCACTAAGTGGTAAAAAAACTAAACATCTTGGAGACGATGCTCTCCCCTGGAAATGCAATACATTTGTGAACGACGAATGGTTAGTATAAATTAATTACAGACCTCCAATCGTGTGGTAAATCGGACAGTGCATNTGTGGTAAATCGGACAGTGCATGCGTACACTCTCACAGCAAAGTGAGACGACGGTGCGTCCTCACCAAATAATTTACAATTGGCAATTTATAAACATACACACGCCAAACCAGCACCGCGGTTTGTCATTCAGTGTATTTCAGTGTATTCACGAAACGATTTGAACTGGTCGTTCAAGAAAAGGCCCGGAGTGGTTTGCACAACACCTTTGGTCACATATATTGGATAGGAACACTACAAATGGAGCGTTTTTCTTTGTATGACTTAAACACATTGACCAAGTTTGATATGGTCGCAAACGTACACGAAAAGATTCGCGACAGTACCGGGAACACCAATTCTAATTTCAGGAGACTGGTAAATTCTGAGAGGCTTTGGGAACGAGTATTGCTATTTTTTATCGAATGAGTACAACAGAGATGGCAATTCATTAAAACTATGGAAATAAAAGTTATTCAAATGAAATCTTGAATGTCTAGCGTATAATGTAAGTTTACTTAAACTTGACTGATCTTCCCGTTTGTAACATTTTGTTTTCCGCGAGTGAGCAATACAGAAAGACCAACATTAGTAATTTGATGAAAACTAATGGCATTTATGAAGCAAAGTAGCGAAAATCGATTCGTTGCGTTCTGGAATACGTTTTCCTTGGTTAACGTTTGCTGGTAACTGAAATTTAATGTACTTCAACATTTACTGTTATCTTCATTCACCTTGTTACCGTCGTTTTCAAAACAAAACGAAAATCAAATCCGGATTTTCGGAAGTATAATGCGCACATATTCTACGGTGACTAATTGAGATGTGGAATTTGCGCCTGTTAACCTCGGTGTCGAACAAGTTAATCACTTCAAGTAAAGACGTTTTCTTTTATTCTACTTGAATTAACAACCATACGGTGCTGCTTAGTCGTTACCTTACCTTTGGGTGATGGAACAAATAACCCTGTAAAACATTTTCAATCAGTTGAACTGCAATCCTTGAAGTGATACATGGATCGTATAGAAGAGGTTGAAAGTTATGCCATTTAGCGGATACCCATGGTCAATTTAAGTTTCACAAACAGTTTTTATGGACATATTTTGACTGCATGGTTAAGAATTACGAGGTACAAAGCACATTTTCACATTCCTAGGAGGAGGGCAGCTGAACGCACTCTAGAGTCCCGATAGGGATGAATTGGCAAGCTAATGCTGTGTGCCGGGCATTATTAACATTAAAAATATTCGTTTGAAAAATAAATGGTCAAATTCACCAAGGTTTTGTCGAAATTCCGAAACAATTTGTGACACATTATCTCAAACCATTCTCAAGGCAGTATACAATCATCCCTCCAAAGACACTGTGAAATAGCCTTCTGTTTGCTGATTTGAAAGAACGGGAATCATAAGCGTTCGCTGAACAACAGTTCACACTGAGAGAGAGTCTCAATGGTTTATGTAACATTGCTTTCATTTTTCGATGAATATAAGACCAAAGACGAAGAGGGTAGATGGCTTGTGGTTCAGAGAGTAAGAAAAAGTAACATACAGACCCATGCTCGTTTCGGTAGGGCAAAGAACCACGACAGCTTGTGGGTATCGTGTTGTGGGTAGTAATCATAGAGACATTAGTTTTTGGTTTGGTCATTACTGAAATCTGATTAATCGTATGTGGATGCTGCCCTTCTTGGACGTGGCGGTGGCCCGATGGTAACGTCACCAATTATTATCCAATCCCCCTCTACCGCTTACCTTTTTCCATCATGTGTTGTATCGCAGCCCTTTGGGTGACCGCTTTCCCCCTTCGTGAAAATGGTATATAAGTATTCTCAATAAAAGGAAGTAAAATGAAAATCAGCGTAAATTGGACCTGTGGAAAACCTGAAACGATACCAGAGTAATTGTGCAAGACCTTGAGACAATATCCACAGGAAAAACGTCACACACATANGTAAATAATAAAATAAAGTAGTTTCTGCAGCCTATTCTGGAAGGCTGTGGATTGGAAGAGCTAATATTGACTAATTAGTAATGTGGGATGCGGAAGAGTGTTGCAAGAATGACTAAACGAGAGCCACTACAAGTAGGGGCCGTGTAGAGATGTGAACAATGTAATGTCAGACGGTTCATTGGCACTGACTGGGATGCGAATGAAGCGTCCATGGATCCCATTAGAAGCAGACGGAAACAGACCAAAAATTACTGGTACTTGACTGGATACATCATTTGGCTCACTAGTGAGAACAGTGTCAGGACAGACCTAATATGTGCTCCAATGTTTGATGGAGATGCAGTGAATTCATACAAAATGATGTTGGATGATTGTGATCAATCAGTGAAATGTGTTAAATTTAATAATGCATGGCATTCTAAGAGGAAAATCGTGGAACCTGAAATGACTGAAGATGTAAAAAGCTTTATTGTATGATTTGAAATTGCGTATATCGGACCTACCTTTTCTCTGTCAACAACCCAAAAATTCATGTTTGGTCCTAAGCAAATAACGATTTATTGACCTTTGCCAACCGGATCGGAACTTGCTACGTTCCCCTTCCATGAGCATTTAGCTTGTACTTTTCTGTAATTCCCTTGTGATTACATAACCGCCCCATATAGCAACTCCCGGTATTAATCGTCGCAACCCGTCCTTCGTCCAGCCCGCTATCGCTACTTATTACCTACACTGCGCATGGAAACCGTTTGGTACTGATTGTCGTGAACATTTGCTCGTCCAACGTTTTACTGTAATTGTTTATCTCCATCGCACACGGAAACTGTGTCGTGTTAACTGCCGTCCTATTATCGTATTCTATTATTGTCACCCCTCATGTAACTTTGTCGTAGTAACCGTCGTAACTCGTTCTGTGCTTAATCCATTATCGTTTTCAACTATTTCGATCCGGTATAAAAACTGCCGCTTGTTATTGTGGTCACTTG